TGTGTGTGTGGCAATAGTGCATTTAGTGTGATAGAGAGAGGGAGAGAGGGAGAGAGGGACCGGTGCTAGCGGGGACCGTGATGTTAGCATCTGGTTAGCTAGCTCCACTAACGGACATAAGGAGCCGTTTCCATAACAAGCTGGAGGAGAGTCCTCTCCTCTCAGACTGAGGGGCTCAGGTGAGCTAAAGGAATCTTTGAGTGTTTAGAACGGTTTTGTCACAAATTATTCAAAAGATTATTTCCGCGGCACACCTTCATATGATCATTATAGTTATACAAACAATAAGAGAATAAATGAAAAACAGGTATGAAATAGCCTACTATATGGCAGTAAAACAAGAATACAGTTTAAAAGGGGAGTCATTTATAAAATATCCATAAAGAAAAAGAAAATCTGTTTACAGTTCTGTCTCATATGGGTGCTGAGAGAGGTATCCATAGATCTCTTCATGTTGCTCTCAAAGTGCACCAGATTGATGCTTTGAACTTCAATATTTAAAAAAAAATCTTCCCGGGGGAGCATCCCCCCCGGACCCCCCTAGAGGAGGTGAGGTCCGCCCCCCAATAGCACTTTACCCCTGCCTATATGCCGTGAGCTGATTATGGAGCCTTCATTGTAACAGTAATTCAAATGCAATTAGCCTATATAAAAGGCCTCAAATTGGAAGCATTGTCTGGGCCGTCTTTTTCACTCAATTCTGCAATAGGTAGATCTCGCCTTTCACCTCGGCCGAGGTCGGTGATCTTGGGCTTAAAAAGGTTGGTGACCACTGCTCTAATGCATTCAAGTTAACCTGAAAACAATAGCTGTTAATGTCAATACCATCCATCCATCCATCCATCCATCCATGTGTTATATTAGTAGCTGTTTTCTATAAATAAATCAGAGCTCTCAATATATAATATTTAATAAACTGCTGCATTATTTTAAATGTAATGTTCATTAAAGCAACGCAGGTTACAGAACAGCACGGAGCCTTTTGAGTGTGGGACCGAGTCAGAGGCGATCAAGTTACTTCCCCTTCAGAATAAAAGCACAGCCGCTTTAAAGTCACTGCGTTCTCTCTCACTGGAACGGTCGGGTCTTTTATTTTGAAGTTCGAAAGCGGATGTTGTGTTTGTTCTCCGGTGCTTCGTCTTCGCTTCATGTCAAAGTCTGTCCTTTACATGTATTTGAATTGTACTCATTAAACTGTTAATTAAAGGCTGTTAGTTAAAGTACAACTTATTAAAGGTTAACGTTAGCTTTGTGTATATAACTGTACATAACTGATGCTAGAGAGTGGGTCAGAATCAGATCAATATTGTTTTATTTTGAGAATCCTAAGACAGTTCTTTGTTAGCTTTAATAAAATACAATTCCCACTTTATTTGGATTTTATATTTCAAGGTAAAAAATACAAAGAAAAGTGTTTTTAGGTGAAGTCAATTTTAACTGTTTAACCCCTGTTTTTATATCTTTAAATAATTACAGACATGATTATATAACTGTGGAGCTAGTTGTTATTAACCTTAATAAAGATCACCAGAATATGTTATATCAAATTACCTGAAAATATAACCCATTTATAACGTTTATCTCTTTATGTTAGTAAATGTTAGTAAATGTTCGTAAAGTCACATTAAATAAACCTAAATAAACATTGATCTGATTGAAACGTCTCTATGATGATGATGTTCTCAGATGGCGCACGGAGAGGATCTGTGATGTTGGCCGTCAGGAGGTCGCTGTCTCTTCTGGGCGGGGCCTCCCGAAGCAGCTCCTCCCTCTTTGGCTCCTCCCTGGTTGGCTCCTCCTCCTGTAGCCCCTCCCCCATATCCTCCCTCATTGGCTCCTCCTCCAGCAGCTCCTCCCCCATCTCCTCCCTCATTGGCTCCTACCTGTTTCGTTCCTTCTCCAGTAGCTCCTCCTCCTCCCTCATTGGCTCCTCCCTCATTGGCTCCTCCCTGGTTCGTTCCTTCTCCAGTAGCTCCTCCTCCTCCCCCAGAAGCTCCTCCCTCATTGGCTCTTCCTCCCTGGTAGACTCCTCCTCCGCCCTGTTAGGCTCCTCCTCTCCAGGCCTGGTTCTGCTCTCCCTCTCCACAGATGTGTTTCAGAACTTGGCTCTGGAGGAGTGGATCGACGCCCACCTGGACCTGCAGAAGCTCCGCCTCCTGCTGCTGTGGAGGAACCGCCCCTCTGTTGTGATTGGACGGCACCAGAACCCCTGGATGGAGGCGGACCTTCCCGTGATGAGGCGAGCGGGGGTGCCTCTGGCTCGGAGACGCAGCGGGGGCGGCACGGTTTACCACGATCTGGGGAACCTGAACGCAACGTTCTTCAGCTCCAAGCAGGCGTATGATAGGCCGAGGAACCTGAAGGTGGTGACAGACGCTCTGAAGAGGCTCTGCCCACAACTGGACGTCAGAGCCACGGAGCGGCTGGATATCGTGCTCAACGGACACCTCAAGATCTCAGGTGGGTTTCTTTGCGCATGTTATTCTATATGAGCTCAGGTCAGAAGGATGTCATCTCTGTAGCAGCTGAGCATCTGATGATATCATATCTAAAGTATCCCTCTGTGAGACAGGAAGTGCGTCTCGTCTCAGCAGGAAGTCGTCATACCACCACCTGACTCTACTGCACTCGGCCGATCGAGCCTCTCTCTCCTCGATGCTCCGCCCCTCCTGTGATGGTATCCATAGCAACGCCACGCCCAGCGTCCGCTCACCTGTCGCTAACCTGAGTGACCACGCCCCCTCGCTGAAGTGGGAGGAGCTTATGGAAGCGCTGCAGGTGCAGTTCAACACAGGTGAGAGAGAGAGAGAGACAGACAGACAGACAGAGAGACAGACAGACAGACAGACAGACAGACAGACAGACAGACAGACAGAGAGAGAGAGAGAGAGAGCATGTAACTATGGTCGTGCTAATAAAGCTATTGAATTGAGAGAGGGGGCGCCCTCTGGTGGACAGCTGCTCACACTGCAGTCACGTTTGTTAAAATTATAATATAAATAAAATAAACAAATAAAAAATACTGTGTAAATTAAAAAACATATAGATAAATGCATATGGGGGAAATAATAAAATCACAATAAATACCAACCAACAGTAGGAAAAAAATCACAAGATTTTAAGATTTTTCTATAAAATAAAAAATGAAATAAAAACTAATCTTTGTTGTTTTTCTCCGCAGAGTTCGGCCTCAGCGCCGCGCCCTCGCACGTGGACCCGTCCGACGACTCGGCGTTCCCCGGCGTGCTGGCGGCGGCGGAGGATCTGCGCGGTTGGGACTGGACGTTCGGGAAGACGCCGAAGTTCAGCCTTCAGACGAGTCTGCCGGGGGGGGGTCACCTGAGCCTGCAGGTGGTCAGCGGACGGATGGAAGGCGTGGAGCTGAGCCTCCTGGAGGACTGGATCCCAGAGAGGCTGATCGGAGCGATGACAGACGCGCTCTGCGGGGAGAAGTTCTGCAGAAAGCATGCGGCCGCAGCGCTGAGTGCACGCCTGCTGCAGGGGGGGGGGGTGCAGCACAGAGTGAAGGTCCTCTGTGACGACATCATCAACGCATTGGGATGAAACGAGAACTGATCATGGTGCCCAGGAAATACATTCTCAATAAATCTTATTTTTTTATTTATCAAAGTCAACGTCATTGTCAATCTTTCAGTTTGTGTGTGCAGAGATCAAAATATATATAAAAGTATTTTTATACCTATACACACAATTAGACAGTTGATACGAACAGAACGAGTAGAAGCTGGAGTTCATACCGAGGAAACCCTCCTGTCAGTCCTCCATCCGATTGATTTGATATATTTCTATTGATCACACTACAATATAACATCTTATGAACGGGTGGGAATCGAACCGGCAGCCTTGGAAACTAAATCAGGGGGTCCGCGGGGTCTTAAAAAGTATTAAAAGTTGATAAATCAATGTAGCGAAAATGAAGGCTATTAAAAAGTATTAAAGGGCATTTTCCAAGGTATTACATTTTGTAGCTTGTCTTCAATAAGTATATAAATGGTCCAAAGAGGTTGTGTTCTACAGTGTGCCTGAATGTAATCATTGCGTAGCTGTGTGGTGTGATTCTGTGTAGTTTATTTATGGCATCCCGTTGGATGTGACGTCATCTGAACAGGACATCGCACGCTCACTGCTTGATAGCGCGCGAAGGTCCGTTTACGCCGGTTGTTAAACAACATCGTTATGGGGAAATGCAAGTCTGCGTCCAAATGGTTGGAAGATAAGGGGGAAGGACAATCAATACTGTATATAGTCAATGTGAGGTAAAGTGTGTCGCCAAGGTAACCGGTTGAAACTCCAAGTGGAGATGAGGTCTGAAAATGTATGGAAGGTCTTTAAAGGTCTTCCATCTGACTTCAGGATTCCTGCAGATACCCTGTAAAGACACTACCTCCTCTACCACTGAGCTACACAGCGGTCTGATATCACGGGACCTTTCTGACACTTTGTATGACCTAAGATTAAAAGGGAAAAATATCTGGATGCAAAATAAAATGAAGGAAATTCTGTTTAAAAACATTTTCTGGGTTTTTTATTATTTATAATTAAAAAAAGAAAATTAAATGTTTGAATAAAAAAATGTTTAACGTTTTTCTGAAACGTCCCGAATTTAATTATTATTATCTACGATTAAGATTAATACATGTATAAACACAAATATATAACAATGTGTTTTATTTAAAGGTCTTTCTTTCCATTAATGAATGAAACACTACATGTAAACGAATACTTTAAAAAGGTGCTTCATTTTGAGCTTCATTTCTGCTGTTTCTTCACACCTTTTTTATAATTAATCTCTATTAATTAATGTATTACTAATTAAAGTAATTTTGTTGTTTTTTATTAGTCATTCTTGGTCTAAATTAAAGTGTGACGCTCAGCAGACAGCTCATGTCGCAGCACGCATGCGCAGTGAACCCCTTCTGTGCCATGCTGCTGAGCGGATCTCTGCCTCAGAAGAGAGGTATCACTCCGCCAATTCTCCAGGGACTACATTCCATCAGATTGTCTGTAGTAATTGTAGAAAATTGTTTAAATAAAGAATAAAACTAATTCCAAAAACAGTCAAATCGTTGAAAATATGCAAAATAATAAAAAAAAATGTTTTGTATAAATGTTTACATTTTTGTGATTTTTGGGACGATAAATATAATTTAATTAAAATGTGTCTTTGTGCTCTGCAGGTCTTTGTGCAGGTCTTTGTGCTGTGCAGGTCTTTGTGCAGGTCTTTGTGCAGGTCTTTGTGCAGGTCTTTGTGCTGTGCAGGTCTTTGTGCTATGCAGGTCTTTGTGCAGGTCTTTGTGCTATGCAGGTCTTTGTTCAGGTCTTTGTGCTATGCAGGTCTTTGTGCTATGCAGGTCTTTGTTCAGGTCTTTGTGCTATGCAGGTCTTTGTGCAGGTCTTTGTGCTGGGCAGGTCTTTGTTCAGGTCTTTGTGCTATGCAGGTCTTTGTTCAGGTCTTTGTGCTATGCAGGTCTTTGTGCTATGCAGGTCTTTGTTCAGGTCTTTGTGCTATGCAGGTCTTTGTGCTATGCAGGTCTTTGTGCAGGTCTTTGTGCTATGCAGGTCTTTGTGCAGGTCTTTGTGCTATGCAGGTCTTTGTGCAGGTCTTTGTGCTATGCAGGTCTTTGTGCTATGCAGGTCTTTGTGCTATGCAGGTCTTTGTGCAGGTCTTTGTGCTATGCAGGTCTTTGTGCTATGCAGGTCTTTGTGCAGGTCTTTGTGCTATGCAGGTCTTTGTGCAGGTCTTTGTGCTATGCAGGTCTTTGTGTTCAGGTCTTTGTGCTATGCAGGTCTTTGTGCAGGTCTCTGTGCTATGCAGGTCTTTGTGCTATGCAGGTCTTTGTGCAGGTCTCTGTGCTATG